CTCTCTCTCTCTCTCTCTCAAAAAAAAAAAAAAGAACCTATAGAGTGAACTGTATTGAGTAATTTGAGTGAATAAAGCATTGAAAGGTGCAGAAGCACATGGACATTCTTTATTTCTCCCCTCGAATCCATAAATTGCAATTTTGTCCCCTTGCAACACAAATGCTCTGTGCTGTGATGTCTTGCCTTACCACAGGCCCAGAAACAACAGAGCCAAGAAAGCATGGTCTAAAAACCTCTGAAACGGTGAGCCAAAATAAACTTTTCTTCCTTTTTTCCAATACTAGGATCAAACTCAGGTCCTTGAGCATGCTAGGTAACTACTCTACCAGTAAGCTTTATCCTCAGCCTTAAATCATTCTTTCTTAAGTTGATTTTCTTAGGTAGTTTGTCACAACAATGGAAAGCAATTAATAAATATCTATTAAATAAATGGATGACAAATTAATTGGCTCAGGAGTAACATCAACATTTAAGCACAGCATTACTTTATCTCACCATTTTTTAAATATTATTTTCAAAAGATGATTTTATGATTAAAAACAACTCCAGTTTTCTCTGTCAACTAAGAATAATATAATTCATTGGGATCTTAATTAGAATAAGATATATTCCATGCTTATATAAATATATCAAAATAAATTCTACTGTCACATATAATTAAAAAGAATGAATGAGAAAAAAAGAATAACACAATTCAAACAATTAACAGTTTCCTAATTTAAGACATGCTTTTAAAACAGAAAATACAGGGCTGGGGTTGTGGCTCAGTGGTAGAGTGCTTGCCCAGCATGTGCAAGGCTCTGGTTTGATCCTCAGCACTACTAAATAAATAAATAAATAAAATAAAATAAAGTTATTGTGTTCAACTACAACTAAAAAATAAATATTAAAAAACCCCCACAAAAACAGAAAATTCAAATTTCTTGGCAGGCTAGGAATGTAGCTTAGAGGTATAGTGCATGCCTAGTAGTATGTAAGAAGTTCTTGGTTTGAGTCTCAGGACTTATAAGACATAAAGTAAAAAATCATTTGGAGTATACAGTTTTGTTTTATTTGGTTTGGTTTGGTTTGATACAGTACTAAGGCTTGAACACAGGGTGCTTTACCACTGAGTCATATCCCTATCCCTTTTTACTTTTTAAGGTTGGCTTTGAACTTGTGATCCTCCTACCTCAGCCTCCCAAGCCGCTAGGTGCAGTATACAGTTTTTAATAATAGCATTTCAAGTATACAAATGGTTTTCAAGTTTATTCCTTGCGGATCCAGGAAGAATACACTCACTGGAATACATTCCATGGCCAGAACAAGAAGTAGAGAAAAAAAATTCATGATAATGGGTCATAATTGTGCCAAGCAAGAAACTGAACAAAGTCTATAAAGTGAACAATTGAGAATTATAAAAATTACTTGGTAGCTTCCATAACAATTGTTATCTGTAGTACTATACTGTTGCTGGGTGCAGTGCAGCACTACTGTTATCCTAGCAGCTTTGGAGGCTGTGTCAGGGGGACCTCAAGTTCAAAGCTACACTCAGTAACTTAGCAAGACCCCATCTCAAAATTTAAAAAAAAAAAAAAAA